ATTTTCTAGTAACAATAATCTGCAATAATGTACATTAAAATCTATAAATATGTGTTGATTTTCCTTAATAAACGATCTGTTGCCTGACCCTTGTCTTCCGTTGTTACAATATGTCTAAGTGAATCATGTGAAAGTTGGATATTTTCAATGTTCAGTTCATGGCGTCCAACAATTGCCGTGTTTCTTAACCTAAAGACGGAATTTGACTCCATTGACCTAGAGGTACTATGCAAATGTTTGGCTGAGAAGGGAGAGGCAAGAAAGTACATTGCACTAATTGAAGACACTCTACTTGAACTCACACAGGCTTGTAGGCGCTTACAATGAGTTGTTATTTGAAGTGATGACAACCAGTGGTGTTCTTCAGGAGTGTCTACTGTCCCCATTTATGTTTATTTCATTAGTGAAATTAACCCTAATTGATTTCAGAGACTTCAGGATTGACTTGTTATCAGAAGACTTGGTGACATAGAGTATGAGGATGGCATAGTCTACTTACGTGAAAATGCTGATCAAATCCAAAGTCTTTTGAACACATTGAGCTGAAATCTTCGAATGTTAGTCATTCGATTCGTTCCTGTCTGATTCAAGATGGAACTACAGGACTAGACTACATAGACTCCTAAGCTTATATTGGGAATGAAGTGGTAGAATGTGATGACCATTTCACTTACTTGAAGAGTTGCATCAGCCCCAACTGGTTGATTGCTGACGAAATCTCACCACCATCCTACCAAATTAATTAATGATATAGGTCAAAAGCGTTGTCAGTGGCGCAGATGTATTCACTCTTTGTAATCTGCTACATCAACATACCCTATTGTTTTTCTATGTTACTATTCTTTCCTCCTCACATTTCCGTTGATTATCGTTCTTCTTAATTTCTTTTTTTGTGCTTCATGGAGTGCGACAAATGGAACTGTTGTACTTCTGTGCGCAGTTCTATGTTGAACACCAGCCAGTCAGCATATGGGATTTCGACACCTAAATAATCAATGATCTATTTTTGAGTAATTTGGATCCTTCATATGAATATGTCATACAAATACGTGTATATGTGAACAGAATGTCCGAAGTGTCACGTAAAAATACATCCTACTTTGTATATTATCCTGTATAATTTATTTCTTCGGATTCTTGGGCAAAATGAATGAGTGAATTAGATTTCCTTTTCCAATCGATACGTGATTTTGAAAGTTGACATTCTGTTCATTCTACGCTTGCTCCTTATACATGGGATCTCCATAGAAAAACAACATCTCATATCTTCCTCTGAACAAAGCGTCTAGCCTACATTTAATGCTGTGAGTTATCTTCACATATCACAGTGATTACCGATAGAGTCGTTGAACTTACATAGAACTTTAGTCTTACTGTTTACCTCAAGCACTAATGGAAGTGTTATCAGTATGTCGTTTACACACTGAGACAGGTATAGTCAACCATCAGATCTAGTATTGTTTTTTCAAGACTAAACACAAAGCTGAAGACTTCCAAACTAGGACGAAACAACTGTCCAGCACTCCCTGCAGGTTTTCCGATGGTTGTCTCTAAATGATGTCAACACTCATGATGAAATCCAGTAACTAAAAAATACTTCTCCATTGGATTTCAACCAATTGGAATTCGAAAGGTAATTATCTCAAATTAGAGAAGAAAAAAACAAAACAGAACGAAATGCAATTTCCTTTAGGCTATTTTATGTTTTGAAGGATGTTAGACGCATATGTGATGAAAAGATTAGAACGTCGTCATATGATGATAAGACGAATAAAATAATTTGCATTTTCTGATTTTATATGCATTTAGCTGATGAAGCATTCCTATAAAGCTAAGCACACTAGGATACTGACACGACTACTACAGATAGAAAAGTTTGAATATATCATACCTTTCCTAGCCTTCCTTCTCTTATCTATCAACTATATAAACTTGAAATAAGAGGAAAAAGCTACTTCCAAATACCGCGAAACTATCGTAAACTGACTGACTGGTTTCAACACAGAACTTCGCGCAGATGTACAGCGGTTCGAGTTGCTACACTCCCTCCATGTAGCCACACAAAGCAGGAGAAGATAATAAAGGGAGATTCAAAAGACAAGTGTGTGGGAAAAGGAATAGTAATATGGTAAAACAATAGTTTTAGTAGATATGATAAATCACAAGAAGTGAATGCATTTGCGCCAACTGCTGAGAACGATTTTGAGCTATATCACCAATTGTCTCCAGCTGTCATTGGGCTTTACCATCCCGAGGACACCCCCCTCAACAATTTCTGAGGAAAAGGAGGACAGATAAAGTTTTGGATTGCTAAGACAATAGAACGGTGATCTGTGTAAGCAGACAAAGTAGTGTTGGTGAACGAATCACAGTTTATATAGTAGCATTATTCTCTACTCCTTTGGCATGCTTAAAATGTGTGTACTGAACTAAAAAAGCACGAGTACTGACTGCGGAAGTCAAAGAACAACTGCTTGAGACCGTCCATACACAGACTGTCTGAAGTGGTTTTCAGACTTCCGTCGAGATGGTGACTTTACCTCCTGTTATGGACCGCCGCAAGGTAAGTCAGGACGTACAATTTTTGTGGACGATCTTTTCTAACTCCCTACCCCTATAGTGCAAAACGGAACATAGTTGGCTTGCTGGTCATCTGAGGAAGATACCTTAATGCTGTCACACTCACATTCGCCAGTAGTACTATGGTGAGAGCTGGCTGCAAGCCAAAAATTGTAGACAGCAAATTTACGTTAATGTTCACGTCCCGAATCGGGGTCATGAGAAAAACAATAACAAAGCTTAACCTTGAAGGACTCACCAACCAATCACAGCAGACTTAACGTGTGCAAATACGACTCGCAGATATATGGCTTAACTATCTGAGAAACGGTCACAAGCAGTACAGAATAACCTTCAACAAGAAAACAACCAATCAGAAGACGTTGCTCCTCCGCTGACAATAATGTACATAGAAATCTATAAATATCTCTTGATTTTCACAATAAACGATCTGTTACCTGGCTCTTGTCTTCTGTCGTTACAGTACTATCCTCAAACATGGGATAAACCACTTATACTATGACATTAAGTGCTTTTAGTCTAACCACTATCTAAACAATCTTCCCAGAATAATACAATAATACAACTGCTGTTGTTGTTGTTCTTAAATAATAACATTTTAGCATGTTGAATAGTTTGCCAAAGTGAATAAAACGGTTATTATTCTGTTTAGGGATACAGTTTTTAACACCGCTAGTTAATTAAAACTATCTACACAGGTACATGGGTTTCACCAGATGGATAGACCACAAATCAGATAGACTTCATCTCAATGTTGCTGAAGAAAGTGGAGACGCAGTCTCCTGGATACGAAACCGAAAAGAGGAGCAGATGTGAGCTCAGACCATTATTTATTGCAAGGAACTTCCAAGGTCATTTTGAAAGCTGCAGATAGACTACTATTCAGGTTTAACATCAAGAAACTGAAGGACAAAAGCAGAAAGGATACATTCACTGCAACTTTCAGAATAAGGTCGGAAACATTATGTAGTATTACGGAAGAAAACTGCGTGGAAGACCACTGGAACTCACTGGAAGTGATTTCGAAGGAAACATGTGCAACCATCAGAAAAAGGAAGAACAGACAAAACGAGGCTTCCCACACACATCTGGAAGCTAAAAGAGGAGAGAAATATGGTGAAACAGAAAATGAACCAGTGCACAGATGGACAACGAAAGGAGAATTTGAGTTCAATGTGCAAAGAACCGAATATTAAGGTGAAGAGCGCTAGGAAAGACAAAAGACAATCTTACAACACGCTGGCCAGTGAAGTAGAGCGGGTTGGAAGTAAGAGGGGTCTTAGATGATAACCAGGTTAATATCCAGGTAGAGACGAACACAGATAAAACAATTTAGAATAATGAAAGGAACTTAATTAACAAAGAGGAGAAGGAAAGAAAACAATGGGCTGGTCACTTCAAAGGACTCTTGAACTGACCACCACATAACAACTTGTCTAGAAATACCAACAGCCAAAGTATGGGCCAGTGAATAACGATGCACCGAAAAGACCAGAAGTTTTGAATACCATAAGGCTATCGGACGCCAACCAAGAAGGCAGCAGGACCAGGCAAAATTCCTCCAGAAGCACTGAAAACGGATCCAGAGACCTCAGAGGATATACTCACGCCACTATTGCATAAAGCTTGGGAGGAAGGGCACCTTGTCAAACTACCAAAGAAAGGTGACTTAGGAATTTACAACAACTGGTGCAGTATTATGCTTCCGTTCATACCGAGCTAAATATTAAGTCCCTTCATCCTGGAGAGACAGAAAAATGCTCCGGATACGAAACTCCACCTGTAACAGGTTTAATTTGCGAAAAGTAAATCATTTGTTGATCTAATTTCAATGCTACGGCTAAATCATTGAACAGTGAACAGAATGGCAGTATCCCGTATCATTTCAAATACAAGCGGCACGGATGAAGATGTCCAAGACAGGATCGCAAAGACAAGACAGATCTTCACTCCCGCAATATACTGCACTGAGTATAAAGATCAAGTCTTGAGTTTTCAACACCAGTGTCAAGTCAGTCACTGCTTCCATTTGGTTTAGAGACAAGGTGGGTCACAAAAAGCATTTCGAACAGGCTGCTTCTCACTTCCGACAACAGATACCTTCGATGCCTCGATAATGAAGATCAGATACCCCCTCCAGTAAGGATTAGCAACAAGCATCTTTGACCTACTGACCAACACATATGGCAAAGAAAATGAAGATGGCCCGGGGACATGCTGTGGAGACCGATGAATGACACCACTCGCCAGGCCGTCGTGTGGAATCTGGATGGGAAACAACGAGTTCGGCGTGGGTCCAAGTGTACCATGGATAAGATCGTATGAAGGGGACAATTGTGGAGCCAGCTAAATGTAAATCTACAGAACAAGGTGACTACAAAAAGTAGTAATTTCTTTTTAAAACAAACAGGTAGACATACCACTCCGAATAGCAATGCTCCAAGTCCACCGTAGACAGCTTGCAAAACCTAGTCAAAAGTAAACAAATAAAGGAAAGTGAATGATGTGTAAAAATAAACATTAAAATTTGTATCATAATAATTAAATTAATAACCTTACACATTCGTTGTAAAACCATAGAATGATAATAGATGAAGGGCTCCTTCATCTACATGAGTTGTGTAGGTTCGCATTCGGAAGATTTAAAACCATGCCGTGTTTCTGAATTTTTCATCTTCCATTTAATCAATAAAACAATAAGATAATCATTACATTTCACCTTATTTTTATTCCTTTGCGTTTCTCGATCGGAGCATAAGCTTTTAAGCTTGAAATTTGAAGTTTTAGAAGCAGTGGTGTTTACTTTTTACGGAGTGAAGTGACCAGCTTTACGCTTCTTTGGCCGTCTTGCTACCAGTTGGACGAAATTTAGGAATGTGTCAACCGGGAATTAAACCCTAGATCATGTGTGGCGTGGTTGGCAACTGTTCTACCATAAAAACAAAATAATCGAGCAAAGAATATTCTTTTCGATAAATTCCTCTTCCAGGCTCTACAATTATATATATGTTTTTATACACAGAATATTTCAAATTAGTAGTTATTAACAATATTAGCGTTTTTTTAAATAATATCGATTTGTAAAGTATGATCAATGCTATTGCAGTTCATTAATGAGGCTTAAATTATAATAATAATAAAGATATAACAGCGGATAGAATATCAACTAAAATTAGGGAAATTTCACAAAATTCTGGATTATTCAAACCTGGATGGCCAAGGTAATGATAATGACTGGACTAACTTCTTCTGGGTGCATAAATTAGGCTTATTAATATGAATCCCCACAGCCTCCGCAATATTTAGAAGTCGAACTCTTAAAGCGAAATTGAGATTCATAGGTATGCGGTAAATGACCCTGAAAGCATGATTAACGTCAATCTTGTGTTCTGTCTCCACAAGATGCGCCAGAATAGCACTGCGAATAGATTTTGTTTGACCTTTGCTTAACCAGGCAGGGTGATGTTCGGAAATTCGACGAGAAACACGCCTAATTGTACGGCCTATGTAACTGGCTCCACAGGAGCAGTTAAATTGGTAGATACACATGGAAGAGGCGAAATTAGGCAGTTTGTCTTTTATTCCCGAACGCAGAAGAGGAGTGGTTTTGAAGATACAGCGCAATTGAGCAGCAGGGAATGTTCTTTTTACCGCATTTCTGAGGCGATGTGTTAGTATTTCACTTGTGTTGTCTCCTAGGAACTGCATCTGCAAGAACAAGGATTTCTTTGGAACTGTTGGTACCTTGGATTGTTTTGGTTTTAGATTCATATTCCTATCAATAAACTTTTCCGGATAACCATTCTCACTTAGCAAACGTTTAATATTGTTGAGCTCCTCGTCAAGACATTCATCCGAGCAAATCTCTCTTGCTCTGTGGACCAGGCACTTTATCAGATTGCGTTTGTATTTCAAGGGCACAAAGCTGAGAAAATGTGTGTACTGGCCGGTTGATGTAGGTTTCCTATAAACATTTCTTCGTATTGTGCCATCCTCTTTTCTGGTCATAAGGACGTCTAGAAATGAAATACTAGAGTCTTTTTCTTTCTCAATAGTAAAATTTATTGCAGGATGTACCTCATTAAATTTATCCAGGATGTCCTTTGCCTCATTTTCGTTCTTCATAATCAAAAAAGTATCATCCATGTATCGACAATAAAATTCGAGTTCATTAATAACATCTTTCAAAGGCCCATTTTCTAGTTTCGCCAGGAAAATGTCGGCTAGAATGGGTCCTAGTGGCGACCCCATTGCCACACCGTCGATTTGTCTATACAGTTCCTTATTAAATAAAAAGTGGACATTCATTGTACATTTCAAGAGAAGCTCCTTCATGAAAGCTATAGGAATGCCAATCTCGATGTTTCGTCTTTTGAGTTCTTCACATATAAAGTCCACTGTTTCCATGAGAGGTACATTGGTGAATAAAGAAGATACGTCAAATGATATCATAAATTTGTGTATATAAAAACATATATATAATTGTAGAGCCTGGAAGAGGAATTTATCGAAAAGAATATTCTTTGCTCGATTATTTTGTTCTACCATAAGCAAAAACCCCGGCCTCCATTCATTTTACCTACGGATATGTTCTATTGAACTGATCTACGTGAAAACTAGCATATTTTTCGTAGTATTAGTAAATATATGCCTACGAATTTATATTTGGAGACGCAAGAAGTGAAATATGTAAGTTAAACATACAATTACATGGAATCACATAATATTAACGCCACACTGTCTGTCTGTTTTCGTCATAGAACTTTGCACCGATGTGTGGCAGTTCAAGTCACCACACTCCATGTAGCACACAAAGGAAGAGAAGAAAGTACGAGAAATGCATAATATAGACAGTAAACAGAGGTGTGACACAAAGGAATAGTACTAACAGAGAACAAAACAGTTTAATTGGAAATCATAAGTCACAAGGAGTGGATGCATCTGCACCAGCCATTGAGAACGATTTTGAGCCATGTTACCAATTGTTTCCAACCATTGGTTTTCACCGTCCCGAGGATACCAACCAGGAAGTCTACACCTTCCTACGTGGCTTAGACTAACTGTTGTAGATTTCATTGACTGGTGCCATATTTTCGTTTGACCGCGGCTAGCTCTTTTCCAGCCTGACCCTATATCAGCTAACATTGCCCGTCAAGGAAGGCGATGACTAGGCATACGTAACATGTCCTAACCATCTCAGTCGATATAATTTCACAGCCTCGTCGATTGATTTCCCCTCCTTACCTAGTACTCGGCGCCTAACCTCAATATTGCTCACCTTATTATACCACTTCACACGGGAGATAGAACGCAGACACCTATGATCAAAGACAGCTAATCTTTTCATGTCTTCCGCTCTCAATGGCCAGGTCTCACAGCCATAAAGGAGGACGGAGCGGACTGCTGAGCAGTATACAAGCCCTTGGGTCGATCGCCGGATATCACATCTACGCCAGAGACGGCGTAAATTGGCATGTGCGAAAGTAGCCTTCTGTATCCGTGCTGAGATTTCGTCAGAGATCAACCCGTTGGGGCTGATGGTACTTCCCAAGTAAGTGAAGCGGTCAAGATGCTCTACCACTTCACTTCCTATTTCGAATCTAGGAGTCGGTGTAGTCCAATCCTGTAACATCATCTTGCATTTGGAGGAAGCGAATCGCATTGCAGCTCAAAGTGTTCAGAAGACTCCGCATCTTGTCAGCGGAGTCTAGACTAACTAGCCTAGACTAACTGTTGTAGATTTCACTAACGCCACACTACTGAATAACTGTTTAGTAGAAATCACACTACAATCTGTATCTAATTATATGAATGACTTGACTTATCCTAGGGTTTATAGGAGACTTCTATTTGATAAATGACTTCATAGAATAACTTAATCACCAAGATATCGTCATCAGGATAACTGTACTGATAACTACCTAACCTCTTGTAACACCCTGCCATGAAGTTTGATCACGAGTAAGTATCCTTGGAAAATCAGGGAATACTGGACAGCTGTTTCTTCCTGGTTTGGGACTCTTCATAGCAGTACTCACCCCAACCGAGACTCGAACACCAGGGCTTTACGTTTACAAGGCAAGGTTGTAGGGCATTCGGACACTGGGACTTGGTCCAATGATTCATGAACTCTAACTTTGATCAATCCGTGATTTTAGCGCGACCACCCCATAATACCAGCATAACAATTCTTATTTGACATTCGTTACGTCTCTTTTTTGATTCCGAGTGAAACATAGGACTTCAGGGTATGAAGTTTTAGTAGTGATAGTGTTGTTTTTGCATGGGATAGGGTTACCAGCCACCTCACGCTTAATTTCCCATATTTTTTCCAGATTACTGTCTGCTAGAGAAGAGTAGGGTCCGTGAGTCGAAGACAGACCTGCCACACGGAGGTCAAATATTTTGCCATTGAACCATAGAATAACAATACAGATTTCTAGTAATCTAGAGATACTAAGAGAGAAAGATTGGTGATGACATATTTATACTTCGTACTGGGGAATTTGAAGAGATGTACTGTCACGCTTATCATTCGTAAAGGACTTTTTCTAGAAAAAATTATTATATTCGTCTGATTAATAATGGTATCATTATTGTCTTCCAAGTCATATCATCATATGACAAATTAGAATGAAAAAATCATAATTATTAAATGAAGTATTTATATTAATAACTTACTCTATTCGGTCCAGATACTGCATAGACAATTATGCAAGCAATTCCAGTTAACATCACAACGATAGACAAGACAAATATTAATGAAGTGCATTTAGTAATATCAATTCGTGTTTGCATAGCAAATATAGAGATTGCTATACACAGACAAGCGGTAATACCAACAGCGATCAGAACAGATTGTGTATCATAATATGATGTGATAGTACCCGTCATATAGGAGAATGCCAATGTCTGTAAGATAGATACAAATAAATACAACAAGAAAAACATACATATAAAACAAACATGTATATTTTATGGTATGAGATAATTAAATGTGCACAATGAAATCAAAAACCATGAATTCAACGCTTTAAGTAACCGCAGGTTGTGCTGAATCCCCTGCTAAAGTGATGTTATGAGCTTTAGTTGCAATTAATACAAGTTATCTTGATAAAAAATAACAATTCCAACTGTTCTTTGAGCATTAGACAGGCAAGCGTTAGCTCAAGCATCAACTAGGGGAAAAACACTCCCATCAGTTCAAGACGCATATGGATCTAGGTGCCATATTAAATTATGACCTAAAAACTTCAACATACTGTCGCGTGGCGGCAATATGCAGAGTGTCTACTAGAATCACCAGTGTTATATTCACCTCTGGTAAGGTCAAAACTGGAAAACTGCATCCAGATAGCTCAGTGTCCTTGTTATAAGGAGGATTAATACACTGTGGAAGGGGTTCCAAGGAAGGTGACATGTATGATAAAAGACTAACCAGTGTGAATTTCTTCCCCTTGTCATACCGCAGACAGGGTAGAGAAGAGATCTCATTACAATGTTTACAATTTTAAAAAAATGACTATGGACCTGATTTATCTTCCCAATTCCTTCCCACCAGCTTGGAATACCTCAGAGGATATGGCGGGAAAGTGAAAAAGTCAAGGAAGGGGAACTATATCCCTGTGGAGTACAGGTTCTCTCATCAAGTCATAAACTCTTGGAACTGACTCCCAGAAGAAGTAGTGTCAGCGCCCCCAGATGACTCGTTCAAGAAGGGTTGAGACAAGCACAGAAACTTATGAGAAAAAGGTCAACGATTAGCCTATTCGAAAGTAGTATTGTTAGTCAATAATACATCAGTGCTCAAAGCTATTCACCTAGCCCTTAAGTGGAGTTAGTCAATTAGCCGTATAAGTAATGCTTACATAATACTGAGCGCGAACATATATAAAGCATAAAGCTACATACATTACGTCCCACGTGAGACCACTTCACATGAGTTTAATAATGATAAGCTGTGTATGTCAAATTTCCATAATGTCTCTCATTTTTCAATTTATTCCTTTGCGTTCCCAGTGGAATATAGGGCCTCAAGCTTGAGCTCTGAAATATCAGTAGCGGTGGTGTTACTTTAACAAACAGGCTGGGGTTGCTAACCTCACGCTCAAGCTTCCCTTAATACCGACTGAGAGACGTTTGTAGGAGTTCATCAACCGGAGATCGGACCCCAGACCACGTGATTGGTAAGTATTCTACCACTGGACCAACGACGTAATGTAAGTATTTACTACTGGTCAGTTATCTATTCAACAATTCAGATATACAGCTATGATAGAACGATATAACTTTATATTCAAAATATAAGAGACTTTTCCTTTCACGTTGAAAGTAAAAATCAGCTTAGGTAATCATGTCAGTGTTTGCTACTTATTTCGACAACAGAGTAGAACTGTTCAATGAACTGTTTCATTCAACCTCATTGACTAATTGACTGAGAACTTTGTCACAGAAGTGCAGCAGTTCAAGTTGTCACTCTCTCTGTAGCACACACAAACAACTATAATGTGCAGGGGAGAGAAAGAATAGTAACATGACGAAACATGAGGGGTTTAATGGACATGGAGGATTACAAAAGATTGATTGCATCTGCGCCACTAGGAACGATTTCGAACCATATCTCCAGTACTCTCCAGCCATCGGTTATTAGCATTCTGAGGACCCCAACCAGGCAATCTACATCTTCCTACGTGACTTGCTTAAAATAACTGTGAAAGATTTCATGAACTGGCGTCATTTTTTTTTATTTGACCAGAACTAGCTCTTTTCCTACCTAATCCCATATGTCAGCTAATACTGCCCATCGAGGAAGGCGACGGCTAGTCATGCCGAAATACACAGCTTAACCATCTCATCAGGCGATCCATCTTCAAAACCTCCACACCTAACACTCGATGCCTAACCTCAACATTACAAGTCATATTATACTACCTAACACGGGAGATAGAACGCAGATATCGCTGATCAAGGACAGCCAGTCTATTCATGTTTTCTACTTCCAATGGCCATGTCTCACAGCTATAAAGGAGGACGGAGTGAACAGTTGTACAGTACACACGTCCTAAGACTTAAACACATTAATTTATGTCAACCAAAATGGTAGAACTACACCAGCTGGAGACTTAGAAAAAACAGTGTATAAAATGCAATATAACATCTCATCAGTTTAGTTAGCAATCACATTATATATGCGAAAACCGACTAAAGATGCTGTGAGCTAGCTGGTCATATATGCAGAATAGCCAGTATTAATTAGTAAAACAGGAAATTAAGAAATACAGCATAATTCACTCTCCACCGAAAAACAACTCAAAATGTAACCAGATGCAAAACGAAATATGTGTGGTGTTTTAGTAACACTACCCTTTCAAATAATACCTCCTATACTCTTCTAATCACTATGTTCAGTGGAATTTGATGATTCGATGACCAGTTATTCTTTTTGCGACACGTCTTCACCATCTATTATGTCTTAAATTTCCTATTTTGTCGGGCTGCTCACTACCAATCTCTTGTCACTTCCTAATTGATAATTCAATACAACAGGCTTGCATTCCCCACATAATGTAGAGAAGGTTCTCCTCATCACTGATACTACACACACACACTTTTGGAAAGGATCGAACTTATATACACACATACACGTATATACGAGGGAACTATAAATATATATCTCTTCAAAATACAAAATATACAACTTACAAAAATAGATAGCGCGATAATATTTCCAGGATATCTTCGTCTTACACTCGGGCAACAAACCAATGCAATATAGGTGCATAGAAAAACCGCACTAGTAAAAGTTTCAAATGAAAATAACAGCAGGACTTTAAAGTATGAATTTCACGACAATAGAAATAGCATACAACATTATCAGAGGAGTAAACAAATAGATACGCGTAGCATTAATAACTGCACTGTTCTACATGATGTGTTGTCTGTTTGTTATTACTCGATTACCCAATACTGGATAGTGAGTGAGTCACGCTTATTATGTGAGTGATAGTGGTGACCAATCTGTGAAGTCCATGGAGTGGGAATCAAACCCAGGACACGGTGACTGAAAGACAAGTGCTACAAGTACTACTAGCTTAAGTTATTGTGTAGCTGTAGTTCAACGGTCTAACTCCATGGATACCTGAATTAAAACTTCGCCCAACCCCTATCAATGGTTTTATTTTTACGGGAGAGAGCGTGTGCGCTAGCCTCACGGCCAACCTTTCCTCCTTACCGGTTCTACTACCAACTTAGCTAGGTTTAAGAGTGAGTCTGTCTGGGAACGAACCTCTGACCACGTGAGGCGTGATCGGCGAGCGCTGTATCGCTGAATCACCGACTCATTCCTAGACCTCAATTAGACAGACAGTAGTAAGCCCGGTAAAGTGGGGAGACTCAGCCAAGGGACTAGCAATACCATCCCGTAAGAATAAAGTCACTGTTACCGAAACTTCAAAGCTCTAGCTTGAAGTCCCGTGTTCCACTCGGAATATGAAGGAATAAAATGATAAAAATCAAACTATCAGGTGAGGGACGCCGATGAGCCGTTGTACAACAACAAGTGTGTAAACAAGCCTACAACCTATATAATTAAGGATCAGTTTTTCTGATTCCATGAACAGTCCATGAGTAAATTAGGGCACAACATCATGGTAATCGTCGACTTTTCCAAATAATCCAGTTAAAAATGAATGAAGAAAAACAATATGGATTTGACCACCACTTGATGTGTTGTTTGTTGACATGTGATAAGTGATAAGGAATGTCAGAAATTATATATTTTTTTTCAGAACAGTCGTTCACTTAGACAAACAACCAATCAACACACACACACAACCGGTCGAATCAATTGATTCCTACCCTTTTTTATTACTACATCTCCACTTCATGGGATATTCTGTAGTAATACGTACTGTCACAAATGAATTTATAGTGAAGTTCTTTAAGGGTACACAATATCTGAGGATAATGACTGCTATTTATTAACCGTTTCGAAATGAGTTAATTTTAATCATTTCTTGGGAATATACCACTTTTACGACAACTACTAAAAATGTTTGCCAAGTAAAACTGACTATCAAGTATGACTTTGCAGGGATTTAACTGGTTAGAGGTTTGCCCACGAGGTGAAATCAGTTAGAGAACCACTGGAAAATCTGGGACAGTTGTTTTGCCTTAGTTTGGGACTCTTAAGTGGTACCTACCCGTTACGGTTCGAACCCAGGATGTTTCGGTCACAAGGCCCACTAATAGATCATTCAGCCACTGGGACTCAATCCAATGGCTAACGATATTGGCTGACGGTTGGCCTAAATATAGCCAATTGGCAGAAGTTGGAATTCAAGGGGAACTGGATGGGGTCCCAGTGGCTGGATGGTCTACGAAACCCTCTTGTAACCGGAAGGTCCTGGGCTCGCCACCCCCTCTCCCGATGGATGGGTACTGCTGAGCAGATCCAAACTAGGACGAAACAGCTATCCAGTAGTGCTCCCTACTCTTTCAAAAGCTCTCTAACTTATACGTAAAACTAACTTTAAAGAAAATAAATGTTATCAGTATAAGCTTACTAGGATAGGTAATAAAACCATGAATTTCTTGCAACCCAATACTTTACACGATACCTATAATAAAGGGGAATTAAGTTTCAGTGTTTTAAAACTTACGAAAAAAGAAAAGTGCATATAAATGTTGAAGTCACTAATAACTGAGCTGTTAAAATTAGATAGACCTGAAAGAAGAAGAGGAGAGAGAGAGAGAGAATGAATGACTGAATACACAAACGATAAGTTACCTTTCGAATGAAAGCATGCCTAACACTTTTCTCAGAATATTGTAAACTTGTAAACGGTTCAGTACGATTAGATTTAGGCTCTGGATTAGATGGTTCACCTTGATATCCTGTTGAATCAGAGTATGGTCCAACTGCAAAACCGATTGTAGGATATGGAGCTTGAATAAAAAAATAGAATTAAGCGTAAAAAGTAAAGTGAGATTAACTAAACACTTTGAAAAAATTTATCTGGAAAATGAAGAAATATACAGTAGGCTTAAGAAATATAATAAGCACTTGCTTACTAGCTAGAGAGCACATAGTAGTGGTTACAAAACAAATAACGATCACTTAACACCATTGACAGATTTTGTTACCAACCAACACCATTAATAATCAGGGAGCTTTGTCGTCCTGCTTCGGGACTCTTCATCAGTGCGCACCCACGACCCCGGCGCTAGAAATTGCACCTGAAACGTCCAGGCTACAAGATAAAGCTCGCTGACCATTTAGCCATTTGGGCTGGAATTCAATGACCCATGAATTCTAACTTTGTCAACTAAGTGATGTACCGCTAACCTCAACCAACGCCTTTCGACGAGCATCCATTTCGCCTTGACATGGTGGACCCCACTGGTCACGACTTTTTCACTACACCTCTTCAGGAAATCCATCCAGTAGCCATCCATCAATGGACTGCGCATTCAGATTAATTTAATTTCAATTATTAGATTACATCACGAACCAACATCGGCTGACGAGACCAATGGAATTAAATTAATCCAAATCCCTTACATATCCCATAAACTATTGATAGAAACTCGTTAATTAACTTCACTTCTTTTAAAAAAAAGAAAACTCATCTAAACCGCTCAAAATGCTTATCGCATTTCAGACAATTATTTCCCTTGATAATCTTGAACAAAGCAAGAAAAACAACATATATTGTACAACATAAAGTGACATCATTGTATTTCGTTGGTTCATACCAGCTGCATACCAACCACCATGATCCATTTCATATCAATCAAGGTACAAAATATTCAAATACTGTACTTATTGATCATCATATGTGTCTGATAGATATTAATATCAGGTGAAGAGGGGAGTGGAAAACAGAACAAAGTGGAGGCGTGTTTTCGAAGCCCTATAATTCCACTTGGAACCCAAGGAAACAATGATAATAATGAGTAGCTTAATGGGAAAGAATTAAAACCTCCGTTAAGGTTGTGAGGATGTATAGAAATAATAGAGGAACATTCTAGAAATATGAGTGGATGTTACAGACTGAATACAATACACTTATACAAGGATTTGTGACCGCCTACCTGAGAATATTCCAAGAAACTTGTATCTGAAAGGTACGAAACTGATTAGTAGTGAGATTGCTCGCTACCTACCTACCTGCCTGCTAGACAACCGTCATGAGATCGATCCATTAAAATCCTCTAAGATAATTAAAGCTGAAGACAGCTCCAGGTTTCCGCCCATTACAGAAGTGATTGCCATTAAAAGACTCAAACCAAATATGTGCATCCAAAAAGAAACCGTTGTTAGTCTTGCTTTAAATTAATAAATGTACTCTATGTTACTTAAAAGATAAACTGTCTAATTTCGCCTCTTCTATGTGTATTTACCGATTCGACTGCTCCTGTAGAGCCTGTTGCATAGGCCATACAATTAGGCGTTTTTCGTCGGGTCTCCGAACATCACCCTGCGTCGTTAACTAAAGGACAAACAATACTGATTCTTTCATTCATGTTAACGAGGTTTTCAAAGTCATCAACCACATTCCAACTAATCTTAACTTTATCTTAAGAGTTCGTCTACTGCATATTGGTGGGGCTGTTGGGATATACACTAAGAAACCTAACTTATTTATCCAAAAGAAGCTGCATCAGACATTGTCCTTACCTTGGCCATCTAGGTTCGAATGATCCTCAATTTTGTGTAGAAATTTCCTCAACTTTTAGTTGGTATTCTATTTGCTACTTTATATTTTTATTATTATTATTATAATTTAAGCATCTTTATTGAACTATAAATTCATTGATCTTACTTAACAAATCGATATTATTTAAAAAGCACTAACATTGTTATTGACTACTATTCTAGAATATTCTGTGTATACGAACATATACATAATTGTAGAGTCAGAAGAGGAAATTATCGAAAAGGATATTCTTTGCTCAATTTTTGTTTTGTTTTTTCTCTTAATTATTTTCGTTGATCTCGTTATCTTACTTATATTTGGTCTCGATAAAGTAATTTAAACTATACTTCTCTTGATATATGTTCAACTACATTATTTGACTCTTACACAAGTGGATTGTTGATTTTACGCCTTCATTCAATTTTTAAAATACATTCCTAGTTCTAAAATATTTCTAAATTATTTCTATATATACTCACGAGCTTTAACAGTGGCTGTTATGCCTTCCCATTAGGCTGCTTAGTCATACGACATTATTAACTATCAGCCATATGATCAATAAGCACAGCATTTGAATATTTTGTTGTATATCAATATGAAATGGATCATGGTTGTAAGCAGCTGGCAACGAAATATTAGCGATGTTATTTTATCCTGTTCAACATATTCTTCCTGCTTTGTTCAAGTTTATCAGATTATTAGAAAAATCAGAAAGTGCTGAATAAATAAATTATTCACTCAAGTCTATAAGAATACCAATATTTATCTGAATGATTCATTATTGTTACTTACATAAACTACAAGTGAACACATCTTAGAAATTTTGGGGAGTGGGGGGTATGAACAGTTTACTCAAAACAAGACTAATTATTAAGTAGATGATATTATCTAGTCATGTCTCAACCTTGAAATAAATACATTGGTTATGGGATGGAAGGAGATTCATCATGCTGAAGTTTCTGTAGCAGCTTTGTTTACAGGGTGGGGTTGCTAGCCTCACGCCTGAGAAGGGGATTGTTACATAAAAATATAGTTCAGAGAGAAGCAACCTTGTGGGTTGCTCCCTTAAAACCTGCTGCTGGAAAAGCAACAGGACCACATGGAATCCCCGCAGAAGCATTGAAAATGGACCCAGAGACAACAGCGGACTTGATGACGCCACTACTGGAGAAGGTGTGGAAAGAAGGCAATGTACCCGAGGACTGGAAGAAAGGATACTTATTCAAACCACCAAAGAAAGGAGACTTAAGTCAATGCAAGAATTGGCACGGCACTATGCTTCTGTCCATCCTAAGCAAAATACCAAGACGCATCATCCTGGAGAGAATCAAACACGCCCTGGATGAAAAACTTCGGCAGGAACAGGCTGGATTCGGGAGGAACAAATCATGTGTTGATCAAATTGCCACACTATGGATCATCATTGAACAAAGTTTGCAATGGCAGCCACCTCTCTACCTCAACTTCATAGACTTTGAAAAGGCCTTCGACAGCGTCGATCGAGAGGTGCTTTGGCAACTACTTCGCCACTACGGGATGCCAGCAACAATTTTACACCTCATCCAACAGTTGTACGACAATGCTGCATGCCAAGTAATCCACAACAAGAAACTCACGGATTCCTTCTAAGTGAAGACGGGAGTAAGGCGATGCTGCCTACAATCTCCAATGATTTTCCTGATTGCGGTAGACTGGATAATGTGACAGAGAGCGGCGGTCAACGAGGAAACAGGCATAAAACGGACCCACAAAAAATCTTGGAGGATCTAAACTTTGCCGGTGATATATGTCTGATTTCCCACAATCTGGAAGATATGCAGGCGAAAAGTAACAAGTTGGCAGAAGAAGCATCCAGAGAAGATAGGCCTTCAGGCGAACATAGAGAAAACAGAGGTGATGAAGATTCCTGGGCAACACCAACAGCAACAACAACAACAACAAACAGCAATCAGCCAGCATAAATGGGAGGAACCTGAAAGAAACAGCCTCCTTTACCTAAATAAGAAGCGTCGTTCCAACTACAGACGGAACTGACGAGGATATCAAAGCAAGAATCGGAAAAGCAAGACAAGCTTTCATTACTCTCAAGTCTGTGTAGAGGTCAACAACACTCTGCATCAAAAATAAGATCCGTATTTTCAACTCGAATGTGAAGTCAGTCAGTGCTACTATACAGATCAGAGACTTGCACTGCGCGTCATGAAGAGCATCTCAAGCAAACTACAGACCTTCATTAACAGATGCCTTCGCTCAATACTCAAAATCAGATGGCCGGGAAGGATCAGCAACAAAGATCTCTGGGAGCGAACCAACCAGGAACCGATTGTGCAACAAATAAGCAGGAAGAAATGGAGATGGATTTGCCATACTCTAAGGAAACCATCATGTGACATCACTAGACAAGCCCTTGAGTGGAAACCGAAAGGGAAGCGGCGAGTTGGTCGCCCAAGGGTGACTTGGAGGAGGTCATGTGAAGAAGAGATGAAAACGTGTGGGCAGACTTGGAGCCAGGTGGACTCAGCAGAGAACCGAACGCAATGGAGACGCACGGTTGAAGCCCTATGTTTCTATAGGAATTAAAGGAAACAATAATAATAATGGGATGGGAAAAAATCCAGGAGAAATTTTTTAAACCATAAGCACTTTCAAACAGATAACTTAAGACGGTGTGAGAAAAACGAATTTACTACTGAAAATATGAAAAATGCAAATTAGACAAAAACAGCGAAATTATAAAAGACATTACCAGTATTAGTTGTTTCGTACGGAGGTGGTGGATCCCTTGAATAATTCATTTGTGCACAAAAAGATGTTAATCACAAAAACCCAGGAAAAGTGGTAGGGAGATGAGTGAGACCTGAAAAATTAAAAAGGTACGGAGTAAGCTAAAAAAAACTATAAAATTTGGATAATAAAGCAGTATGCATAGTTATCTAGTTGGTAGAAAGCATAAAATAACCTAATTAGATAAAAAAAACTTGGCAATGAACCGACTACAGAAATGACCCACAAAAAGTAACCATATCTTGACCATCGATATTAATGTTTCGCATAGTGCTCCAAAGAGTGAGAATGACTAGAGATTTGACCATGTGTAGCTTTTGTAGTAAAACCAAATAAAAGAAACCCCAAAAAAACAGAAATAAGAGCACGAACCAGTCATAATATGTGACCGAATAATACATGTAATGAGACAAGTCAATCACCAGTCACATGTGATCGAATCGTCATCAGCAAATATTACTGCATAACACTGAGACTTTAACAAAAGGATTTCATCCACAATGCAATCATACTCTACTACAGTACACAAGTTATATTCTTATATGAGTGTCTCCAGAGAGGTTTGAATCTAACTATTATTTCAAGCCACAAAGACTTATCCTTGTCAGACGTGTATAACTTATTTATTTACAGTCATAATTTCCCATTTCCGGCTTCACTAAGTTAATACGTCTCCAAAGCCCAAGAGGACTCTGGTCTGAGTCCCAGTGGTATCGAAGTGCAATCAATTCCAAGTGACGAGTTTCAAACAGGAAGATGTGAATCCAGAATTCCACTATGCAACACTATCAAGAAATGTTTGCCTGTGAAGGTGACTTGTGGGTCGTCAGCTGGAAATGTCTTAACAAAGCTCCACTTCTAGTGATTTTCGTTATTAGATGGTGTCTTAACACTAGTCAAGAGCTTTGTTACAGCCTCGGACAAATTACGCAACAAACAAGAGGACACTGACACCCGACACAGAACTAGAAAAGAATGTGACATCACACGGATACAATTATCACCACAATCGAAAATACAATGTCAGTCTGGTATGTCTAAAACCGGTGAGATTTTCTACTCTCCATAACACTGTACAGTTAATTAAAATTATGTCTATTAAGTTCATTACTGCACTTTCCCACTACGCCTTGCTACATTCACTCCATGAAAGAAATATGCAAGAGTATATACACTTGGAGAACAACGTATGCACGAAATCTCAAAAACAGTAATCGTAACAAAATAATTGAAGCCAACAAACAAGTCTCCCTTTTGAACAACATCCTCTAACACAGCAGAATACGTGGATCTGACAACGGTAGCGGTAACACTAGTCAGTAATAGGATGCACATACCGAATATAGCCAGTAACAAAAATGAGACGCTTCCAATCATTTGAAAAATTACCCTAAAATTCACTGTCTTAGTCTGTACTATTGCCAAATAGCACTGCCTTTTGAAAGGTAAGCTCACATTAGTGTGAGTACGCGGTGCCAATGAATGCTGAACTAAAACTGAAACAACTCTTCAATGTCTTACGACTGAATGGTTATATGTGAGATGTAGTTTACGAAAACTATATCTGCATCTTAAGATTTTTCCTGTAACTCCCACGTCCATGTACATCAAGAACTCATCAAAATAAATGATAACACGACCGTGGACCAACTACTACATTTGCATCACCTAAAAACTGATATGAAGCTTAGATTTCAACTTAGGTGAATGATTAACTTGGAGAAGTTAAACTAAAGCACCCACACCGTCCGACCTTACTACAGACTGTGAGCAACTAATCAGAACTATGGAGCAATAAAAGTGGCTAAATTGTTAGGGACGACTATAGGACGTGGTGTTCGTTTAAACCAGTTTAGCTTCTCATTCTTACCACTCATCCAAACCAACATCTCAGTTGTAAAATACGAGATATCCTGTCAATATACATGTTTAAGTAACTACAATTAATCCACCATTCACAAATCAACCGAACACTTGATTGTTTTTCGAACCCCTTAGGCAAGTCCAACATAGAAGGCATCATTTGAATTGGTTAAACTGTATGTAACTCTCATTGGCTATCGAGGGTTACGAACCTAGGTGATTGCCATAGTTAAAACTCTCCATTAACTAATTACCAAAGAAAAAGTGGGGAAAAATCGGGGAATCCCTTACAACGTCCAATCTGCCTTTTTTGGTTAGCGCGGTAGCTTTCGATAAACAAACTTCCCTCTCCGTCCTTTCAGTATCCAATACTTTAACAAGCCAGAGATTTAGATTAACTAATATATAATTAAGGCATCACCTGATGTGTATCCTAATGAAGATTGAATTTCTCCTTGAAAGCGCTCGCAGATGTAGCCGATACCCCTTGGTCATGGAAGAAATTTCAGAATTTAGAAATTTTACTACCCTACATTAGAATGTGAAATCCCCCCCTTTGCATGGTAAAGTATAGAAAATCTCAGAAATGCCAATATGCATATTGATTCATGGTGGGTAAAAATGACGTCATTCATGACCAAATTCATGAGTATTAAATGGGAAAACAATGACTACGTTTTCACTAATATGTGGCAAAGAGAAGCACATAACGTCTCTCAAAACTTATATCTGATGTGTAAATGCTGATTTCAGAAGAGAAGAGTAGCGCTGGGAGTCACACACTGCTGACGCATATACATTTTGTGAGGGTGAATACATCAGGAAAATCAAAGGTCTCTGCCTCCAGCCACCAAATCACTGAGGGCGTAGAAGTCTATGAAGAATTCTCCATTGCTATTCATTTCTCCAAGCGAGAGCCTCTCGACCCATGATGAGTTCTTTTCCTTTATTATCTGCTCCTAGGTTGGCTGCTATTCATATCGCCCATAAGGATTTTGATGTCGCCATTCGGGATGTTCTCCGTCACTATCTTTTTTTCCTTCACATTCCCCAGTGGAACATACGGCTTCAAGCTGGTGGCTTGAAGTTTCTGTGGCAGTGTTTATTTTACAGGATGGGGTTGCTAGCCTCATGCCCAACCTTTCCTCTTTACCAGCATTATTTCTGGCTCAGCTAGGTAAAGGAGTACGTCGGCCGGGGATCGAACCCCAGACCATGTGCATGGTCGGCGAGCGTCCTAACCACTATACCACCGACGCACTGTCACTATCTTTAGTTGTCTATAAAAATCTTCCTTTTTCCCTCGTTCCGCGTTGTTTGCAGGTGCGTAGATTTCTTGGATAATTGTAACCTTCCTCCCTTTTGAGTTGAGTGTTGCTGTATAATCCTGCAGGGGGAGACTGGTTCCCACCGCATTAGGGCTTCGGCTACCACTAGTGACATGATAGTCACTCACTGCCTCAGTGTGCTCGTGATTGTCGTCCGGGTGACCAAACCGGAATATATTACTGAACCGCCAGTTGACAATTTTGACATTCCACATCCATTCTATTTGCTTTCGCAGATTCCCAGCACTTCTATACCGTATCTTCTCATTTCTCTGGCTACCTGGGCAGCCTTCCCACCTTGGTACATTGTACGAACACTCCACCTTCCCAATCTTATTTTGGCTTTCACCAAGAGAAGACACAACGGCTGGTTGACTGTCTTCCCGAAGGCTCTCATCAGCCCAATGTGCCATTTTGCCTCCATGATTCCATAGAAAAAGTGTTTTTCATATAATTTGTAATTTTAATATTTTTCATGCGCGGTGAAGTTTCTGTAGCAGCTTGATTGGTTTATTGGTGTAGGGTGAATAGCCACAAGTTCAAGCCTCCCTCTTCACTCGGGTTTGGGACTGGTTAGAAAACTAGCAACCTAGTGATAATCATAATTTATATTTCGTATAAACTGGTGTTTGCAATTAATGCATGCCATTTTTACAGGCAAGATCGGTTATGTTATAATTATAATCCTGAAGTATCATAAATCAACACTTTTCAAAAGTTTAAATTGTTCGACTACTGTACAAGCAATCAGAGCAGGTTCTTATCAAAGTTAAATTGTAAGCCCTTCACGACCAGTGTCGAGCGACAACCCAAACTTCGTTGCGTCTCCCGCTGACAATTATGATCGACCAGTGTACAACGTAAATTTTGGTGAGTGCTATGCCGCCACTTGATTAAAGTCTATTTGACGAAGAGGAGAACGCCCTGGGAAATTGCGAAATGGCATAAAATTCAATTATGGATAATACATCATTGGAAGTACATTTACAAGATATGTACAGGAAGCAGCTGGAGACTCCTTGGAATGATAGTATACATTTGCAATGTTTAATGCTTATCATACTGGTCTAAGCATGGAAACTATGACGGTTTCCGTGAAAATACAGCTTCATTCAAACATTGGTGTTGTAGTGTTTCCACTCAAAGCAGCAGATATGAACAAAGAGTAAGTTTCAGCTATAATAAAGGCCTAGGTAGTAAAGATTATCGTGAAGTAGATAAATGATATTTCAGCGGTAAGTGAATTCAAAGATCTGGAAGATTGGAACCCGTAGGACAAGCTGACCTGTAATATGTTTCACGAATTTCTGTAGGGTTCATGGGATACCATCTTGACAAGAAGCTGAGCAGGCTTGTAGATGGTAGTGGCAAAAGCATTTTATTATTAGCAATTTAGGTCTGTACAACTCTTATTTCTCCTTTTTTGTTGAGGATCCAGACTAATGCCTGATTCTTCAGCTGTCAGAAATTGGATGTTGCTGTCCTACAAATCGGAGCAGTTCACATATATGACCACTACCATATCTGCTGATCAGCGTGCGCTACCCTCCCTCCTTTTTGGTGATAAGCTCTGAGATGTTTTACAATAGCTGTAATTGCAGCAGTGCATTGCTTTGAGCCCACCCCAATCACACAATTTGCTGCACACTAATAGCTTTCATGACAAGTGTTTCCAGCTGGATCACCAGATACATCGACACCTGTGGACATTCTTATCAGTATCACTTTTATACATGCATACGTGTAGATAAGCATTTGTTAAAAGCGACTAACAATTATTCCAATCTGTGTAGGACACACCAGTTTTACAGGTGTGGATAAGTATTATTTAAATTACATAAATTTGGTTTATGGTGAAATTACATGGTTGCTGTCCTTTTTAACATAAGTTTGTGGGTACAGTCTGCTAACTAGTCATTCAATGGAACACATTAAGAAATATAGAAATATTGTCTTCGCATTACCAAAAAAGCCCAAGTATGTGTTGGATGGATTACAAATTCTTAGGAAAAAAATAAGGCCTGAAGTCATTTCCCCATATAATTTTGTTATGTGCGGCGTCGTATCTTATTCTTGATTTATATCCAAATAGGGTATTAATTTAAAATAAGTGATTAATTTGTATAATTTTGTCAGCATTCTTATCGTAAGTAACACCAGAAGTGAATTATACTGAATGCAGACTAATGTTGGATATTGTCAAGCAGATTTCTTTTCCTGAGCCCAGGTCAGTTGCCATTTGTCGCTGAATAGTTGTTCTGTACGAGTAAGTTGACTGTTTCCTCAGAGTATGGCCACTCCACCTCCATTTCCCCCTGCTTATTTGTTGCACAATCAGTTCCCGGTTGGTTCACTCCCAGATATCTCTGTTGCTGATCTTTTCTGGCTGGCCATCTGATCTTGAGTATTGACCGAAGACAACAGTTAATGAAGGTCTGTAGTTTGCTTGAGATGCTCTTCATGACGCGCAGTGCAAGTCTCTGATCTGTATAGTAGCACTGACTGACTTCACATTCGAGTTGAAAATACGGATCTTATTTTTGATGCAGAGTGTTGTTGACCTCTACACAGACTTGAGAGTAATGAAAGCTTGTCTTGCTTTTCCGATTCTTGCTTTGATATCCTCGTCAGTTCCGTCTGTAGTTGGAACGACGCTTCTTATTTAGGTAAAGGAGGCTGTTTCTTTCAGGTTCCTCCCATTTATGCTGGCTGATTGTTGTCTGCTGTTGTTGTTGCTGTTGGTGTTGCCCAGGAATCTTCATCACCTCTGTTTTCTCTATGTTCGCCTGAAGGCCTATCTTCTCTGGATGCTTCTTCTGCCAACTTGTTGCTTCTCACTTGCATATCTTCCATTTTGTGAGAAATCAGACATATATCACCGGCAAAGTTTAGATCCTCCAAGATTTTTTGTGGGTCCATTTTATGTCTGTTTCGTCGTTGACCGCCGCTTTCTGTCACATTATCCAGTCTACCGCAATCGGGAAAATCACTGGAGATAGTAGGCAGCCTTGTCTTACTCCTGTCCTCACTTCGAAGGATTTCGTAATTTTCTCGTTGTGGATTACTTGGCATGCAGCATTGTCGTACAACTGTTGGATGAGATGTTTAATTGTTGCCGGCATCCTGTGGTGGCGATTATTATTATTTCCTTTAGTTCCTAGAGGAACATAGGGCTTCAGCCATGCGTCTCCATTGCGTTCGATTCTCTGCTAGAGTTTTCACCTGGCTCCAGGTCTGCCCACATGCTTTCATCTCCTCTTCACATGATCTCCTCCAGGTCACCCTTGGACGACCAACTCGCCGCTTCCCTTTCGGGTTCCACTCGAGGGCTTGTCTAGTGATGTCACTTGCTGGTTTCCTCAGAGTGTGGCCAATCCATCTCCATTTTTTCCTCCTGTGGTGGCGAAGTAGTTGCCAAATCACCTCTCGATCGGCGCTGTCGAAGGCCTTTTCAAAGTCTATGAAGTTGAGGTAGAGAGGTGACTGCCATTGCAAACTTTGTTCAATGATGATCCATAGTGTGGCAATTTGATCAACACATGATTTGTTCCTCCCGAATCCAGCCTGTTTTCTGTCTATGTTTATCATCCAGGGCGTATCTGATTCTCTCCAGGATGATGCGGCTTAGTATTTTGCTTAGGATGGACAGAAGCATAGTGCCGTGCCAATTCTTGCATTGACTTAAGTCTCCTTTCTTTGGTGGTTTGAATAAGTATCCTTTCTTCCAGTCCTCGGGTACATTGTCTTCTTTCCACACCTTCTCCAGTAATGGTGTCATCAAATCCGCTGTTGTCTCTGGGTCCATTTTCAATGCTTCTGCGGAGATTCCATGTGGTCCTGCTGCTTTTCCAGCTTTTAGCATCTTGATTGGCTTCAGAACTTCTGATTTCGTCGGGCGGTTGTTATTCACTGTTAGCTCTGTCTCCGTTTTTGGCATTGTTGGGCGCCTTGTAGATGGTGGTCTGTTTAGTAGTCTTTTAAAGTGTTCAGCCCAGTGTTTCCTCTATTCC